TCCCTATTCCTCCCCCATCACGCCCTTTCCCTCTTCCTCGCCATTGCCTCCCACTATCTTCCTCTCCCGTCCTTTACACTATCTACCTCTTCCTTGCCCGTGCCTCCCATTATCTCCAATACACGTGGTCTTTTATTCACTCACTAAATGAAGTTAAATATAAATTGGATCCTAGCAGGATCGAGTTAAAGATGAAGGAGCACATTGGAATAAACTGAATCGCGGCTATGATAAAATCGGGCATTAGCATAACATTGATTTATAAGTATACGAAATGACGTAAATGCACATTGATTTAAAACACAAGTCTAATCGACTACATTAACAATTTAAGATAAAAAATACTTAAAAATTGGACATCAATGCCGTTGATTTGTATAATCTGTGAAACGCAGATTATTTAAGATAACATCGGATATTTTGGTCTTGCTGCCGGATCGGCTGAGCGGACTTTTTGTGCGAGTAGCTCACATATCATTAAGAGATCTGGACACAGTCCCATCATCAGTGAGCTCCTCCGGCAGGCAAGGCTGCGTTGGCTGGGTCATGTAACCCACATTACTAGGCACCGCATGCCCAATCATCTGTTCTTTGGTTGGATAGATTGGGATAAACGGGCGTGGCATGGGCTAGAGAAGAGATGGACTGATGCAGGACAGGAGGATGTAGAGCTGAGTGGAACCAGTCGCCCTACAACAGCAGCAGAGGGTAAAGGAACGACGCTCACAACAATGAGTGGCCTCTCCCGACGGGTGGGGGCTGTGGGGGGTTATGGGATCCCCCGCAGCCCCTCCCAACGGGTGGGGGCTGTGGGGGGTTCTGGGATCCCCCGCAGCCCCTCCCAACGGGTGGGGGCTGCAGGGTGTTCGACGATCCCTCGCGGCCCCTCCCATCGGGTGGAGGCTGTGGGGAGTTCTGGGATCCCCCACAGCCCCTCCCAACGGGTGGGGGCTGCAGGTGTTCTACGATCCCTCGCGGCCCCTCCCAATGGGTGGGGGCTGTGGGGGGTTCTGGGATCCCCCGCAGCCCCTCCCAACGGGTGTGGGCTGCAGGGTGTTCTACGATTCCTCGCGGCCCCTCCCAACGGGTGGGGGCTGTGGGGAGTTCTGGGATCCCCCGCAGCCCCTCCCAACGGGTGGGGGCTGTGGGGTGTTCTACGATCCCACAGAGCCCCGCCCCTCGGCATAGAAACTGTATATAAGGTGGACCTCTGGAGAGGCTAAGAGCAGTTGCAGTTGAAGACTGAAGACCGAAGACTGAAGGCCAGCTCGACTAGGACCCTGAAACCTCGAGCCCGCTGCCCTTGTAAGGACCGGGTCGAGCTTGGACCAGTGGTTGGACCCGTACCTTGGCTGGGTCGGGTCAGGATATCCTCCCCTAGGACATGGATAGCCGGAGGGCTGGAAGCCAGCAGGGGGCAGTGTTTAGGTCACAATAGCCCGGAGGCCGTACCTCCCTAGATAGGGGGCGTAAGAGAGTTATTATAAGCTAAAAATAAACACACCGTGTTGCCTCTACTTCAACGTCTCCGTCTCCATAAAAGAACACATTACACATCTACGAGTCGTTTCAGTCAGTCAACCCATCGCACCTGGGTCTGTTCCATGACCTCCTGCGAGGAGTGACCCTTCCACACTTCACTTGGCCTCAAAGTGCACCTAGCCTGGCACAAACGCCATGGTGGTCACCACTACGTAGCTGTTGTCAGTGAGTTAGGTGTGTAGGGAGTGGTGGCGCAGCGGTTATAGCGCACTGCTTGGAACCCGGTGACCCGAGTTTGATTCCCCACTCACGGTCAACACCAAGTGATGATTATCACTGGTCAACTCAGTCTCTAATGAGTACTTCATGCAGTATATAATAATCAGGATTGGGGAGACAAAGGCGGTCGTGCCGACCTTCATAAGTGCTCGCTTACAGCACTTGCCCCAAGTCTGTTGTCTGTACATTAAGAGGTATTAAATATCCCACGCAGAGGAATCTGCTTACAGGACAGATAAGAGGTTCTTCAAATACCGTGCCCCGTGTCACCTGAACGTTAATTGTCGCCACGGTAAATCAGTGTTCACCGCTGAATCGTCTCTCACCATCACCCCGCGCCCATTAAGAACAATGCGACGAGGCCACAGACAGACGCCGCGTTATGATGGAGGGCTGGCGCGGAGCAGGAGAAACGTCGAGCTACGTGACATCACAACACCCTGCACACAACTGTAGTGTCTGATTAGTGTGTGTATCGTTCACGGATAAGTGGTGTAAGTGGTTGAGGGTAAATTTTGGTGTGAATTGATCATAATGCTTTGCGTAGCCTGCATTTAAAATTCCACGCTTGGGTGCATGAGTAGATATTAGTGGGTGTGTGTGTGAGTCAGCCGGTAGGTGAGGATGTGGAAAGATGGATGGGGCTGGGCGGGCACGGCATGGGCTGGAGTGGAGGTGGACTGATGCGGTACAGTGAGGATGTGGAGCTGAGCGGACTTGCCCACGACCGGTACCAGCAGTGTCGGGGTCGGCCTCTGTGGAGGAGGCTCGTGAAGGACGCTGTTGCTGCTACTGGGCAGTTGGAGGCAGTCGCCCTCCAGCAACAAAGGAGGGCAGAGGAGCGACTCTCACAACAATGAGCGGAGCGCCGGGCGGCAAAAATGCAGCAATTTTGCACAGTACGGGGTGCAGCTGGTGCATCTACCAGTCATCTCAGTCAGCCAACCCATGGCACCTGGGTCTGTCCCGAGACCTGTCAGCGACCCTTCGACACTTCACGTGTCCTCAAAGTGCACCTGGCCTGGCACAGGCGCCGTGGTGGCGTCACTGTCACTTATTGGCGAATGGTGACGTAGCGGTGGTTGTGAGCAATGATATTTTTGAGGGGGGGGGGGGGGGGGAGGCGCCAATGCTGACCAGCTTGTGAACCGCGCGTCGCCTCCAAGCCGCCACAGTGGCCACAGGGAGCCATGGATGGGTGCGACGTGCTGGTAAACCCCCTCCAACTTCAACTCAATCACACACACCTACGCGCGAGCCCTTGGGTCTCTCTGTGAGTCGATGAGTCCCTCTGTGTGTGGTGATTCTATGGGTCTCAGTGTGGTGAGTCTGTGGGTCTCTGTGATGAGTCTGGGTCTCTGTGGTGAGTGGATGGGTCTCTGTGTGATGAGTCTGTAGGTGTCCCTTGGGTCTTTCAGTAAAGTCACGTAGGTAGGTTCAAAGAAAATAACAAAAACGACGGTTTGACAACTTGTGTTGCGATCGAAACGTCGTAGTATTTGTTATTTTTTGTTATATTCTTTGAACCTAACTCCGTTACTTTACCGAAAGACCCAAAGAATATGAATTCCTGCAGTCACGACAGCTTTAAGTCAAGATTTTAGTCTATAGGTCTGTGGTGCCACGACCGCGGAGCAACTCCACAAGCGTTGCAATTCCCTCCCGGCCACTGCACTAAACACAGACCCGCACGCAGCGCATCCACGTAGTGCCCTGGAGGGGGATTGCCTGGCACATCGGGTTTTAATCCGAAGGGCCCTTAGAGGGAAAGTCCCATGGTTTCCCGGTACCAGGAGATTGGCCGACCTTCACAGGCCGACCCTCACCCTGGGCTTTTGAAGTTTAGAGCATAAAAAGAGGAGCCAGGGGACGATTTCGGTCTCTTGGCTTCAACCTCCGGGCGGTCAAGACCCTCTCCCTGCCGTTCTGCCTCTTCGAGCCGCTCACAGCATCCGTATGATGCCAGCGAGCGCTGCTGCGAGACAGTTATAGGTCAAGTATTCCCTCGTCCTCCTCCCTCCGACTCTCTCAGCGTCCATGGGATGCCCCGCGTCTACTTTCGAGGTACGTGGTAGGACGTTTGTGTGACTGGGTTCATAGGCTAGGCTCTCCTCGCGAGATATTCCACTTCCAGGAAGTGTGTATTTGCGCCATTAATAAACTTTAGTTCATAGTATCGGTGCCGTGTCATTTCTGTGTGTGTGGGTGGAACCTCGGTGCGGTGTTAGTAATTTGAGCGCTGTGTGCATGAGGCGCGTGTATAAAAACATACATGGCCGCCGACGCTCACGCGAGTTTACGCGCGTGTGTGAAACACGAGCGCTTACAGTGTGCCGCGTGAGTAATTAGGGCGGGGGCAGGCTGCGATAAACCCGCTCACCAGCGTTTACACAGCGTGTTTACACAGCGGCAATAGCATTAACGGCGAGGCTTGTGCGTATTCCTAGAGCCCTTTAGCATTAGCCTTTGTGTGCTAGCAGATTAGGGCTTAACCACCCGGAGGGGCGCAACACATATTAATACCACAGCCGTCCCGTTTGCTTTAGCGCTAACCTTTGCGCGAAATACGCGCCTGCAGGGGTGCGCGTGTGCATGCCTCTGCGTTCACTTGTGTGGTGTTGTACGTGGGCGTGTGCGGGATAACCCCGGGCTGTGGTGAGCCAGCCAATCAGCCATGTCCCTCAGAGAGGGCGCTGGCGCGGGGGGCCGATCACTCGATCGGCGGGGCCCCGGCGGGAGGCGGCCGACGAGGAGGAGGGGGGAGTGGAGGGGGTGGACATCGCGCCCCACCCGCTCACAGAGAGCGGGGAGGCGAGCGTCGGCCCCCACAGGTCTCTGTGTGGGTATAGGTGTGGTTTAGCCTTTGGGTATCCTTGGGAGTCGATGGGTCTCTGTGTGAGTCTATTGGTTGCTGTGATTCTGTGGGTCTGTATGTGAATCTATGGGTCTCTGTGTGGTGAGTCTATGGGTCTCTGTGTGAGACTATGGGTTTGCGTGTGAGTCTGTGGAGCTCTGTGTGATGAATCTATGTATTTGTGTGGTGAGTCTATGGATCTCTGCATCAGTACCATCACCACATTACACACATCTCCATCAGTGCCATCACCACGCACGTATCCATCAGTGCCATCACCACATCACCACGCACGTATCCATCAGTGCTATCACCACACCACGACACGCATCTCCATCAGCACTATCACATACATCACACCACCACGTGGAGGCTGAGGACAGGCTGCTGATATTAACCTTTAATAGAACGGGTTCCAGGTGGCAGGTAATAGCGATTCCGCTACACACGCGAGAGGAGGAACAGCTCTGGACGATTCCTGCATCTGCCCGTCCGTCCGTCCACACGTCTCCCTGCTGGCCTCGGTGTCTGTCCGTGTGTCTGTCTGGTCCACCTGTCTGTCTGATCCGTCTGTCTGTCTGTTTGCACACGCCTGTGTGTCTATTCTGCCTCTCTCGTCTGCGGTGCGACAGGGAAGTGAGTGCCGCTGGCGCTGCGCTACGAACCCCGGCGACCCGAGTTCGATTCTCGCTCATGGCCATTGACACCCGCGGTGGTTATCGGAACCCCGGTAACTGGGCCTCCCTTCTAGTTTGACTCAAATGAGTACCTGGAGCAATGCGTGTAAACATCGCCACTGGGGTGGCAAAGGGGGCCGGGTGTGGTGTTTCATGTGCCGTGCCGGCCTTCATAGGTGCTCGCTAACAGCACTTGCCCCAACAGTATGTTAAGGCTACACGGAGGACCTTTATCTGTTGGCCTCTGTCAGTATGTCCACGTCGCTACTTTTCTATCTTGCCGAGTCTGTCCGTCTGTCTGTGCGTTGTGTCGACTTCTCTCTACGTACATCCATCTGTCTGCCTTGTCTGTGTGTCTTGTCTGTCTGTGCCTTGTCTGTCTGCCTGCCTGTCCGTCCAGCAGTCGTTCGGTTGGTGGGACGGTGGGCTCGCGCTCAGGTGGGCAGGGTGTAGGTTCAGGCCAGTTATGCAACGCATGCACAACGAGTGCCCGCCGCTCGTGCTGCTGCTTCTGCCAGTGCTGCTGGTGCCTGTGCACAGCTGATGCTGCTCGTTCTACTCGTTCTTCTGGTGATCTTCCAGCACTGCTGGTGCCCACTACTGCTGGATGCTGCGAGTGATCCTGCCATATGTGCTTCGGCTGCTGCTGCTTCCGGTATCATTGGCTGCTTGCTAGCTCACCAGCTGGTGCTGGTGATGGTAAGGGTGTTAATGCTACTGCTGGTGCTACACCTGTTGGTGTTACTGCTGTTAGTGCTCCTGGTGCTACTGTTGATGATGCTACTGATTTTAGTGTTACTGGTGCTACTGGTGGTGCTACTGCTGCTGCTAGTGATGCTTCCGCGCTAGCGCAAGTGTCGCGCTGGCGCTGTCATGGTCGGTCACTTGCGGTAGTTGCCCAGGTGCAGGGCGGCGCGCCCGCTAACGCAGCTAAAGGCGCTGGCCGGCACCTCCCAGGGGCGCAGCGCATTGCCAAAGAGGCTGATGGAGGTGTAAAGCGCCTTCTTGGGGTTGAACACGGGTGGGCAGAACGAGTCGTTGAAGATGGATGCGATCTTGTTGTCGTGCAGGAAGATCACCTGGGGTGCGAGGTGGTGGGGTTGGGGAGTGAGAGAGGAGGTGAAGCCGGTGGCCCGGGCCGGATGACTTCATGGGCGCTGGCAATGGATACAGCGCCACCACCACCTTCACTGTGTCGGTGATGGTGCTGGTCGTGTCGCGGTTAACGCGCCACGCTATAAACCCGGCGACGCGGGTTCAATTCCCGCTCACGGCCAACACCAGTTACGACTGTCTAAACTGTTTCTGGTCCTCTCCTAGTTCGACTCCACCTCAAATGAGTACCTGGTGCAGAATATAAACATCGCCAATAGGTAGATAAAGGCGGCCGGGCATAGTGTTGGCCACCCACCCCCTCGTGTGCCGTGCCGGCCTTCATAGTTGCTCGCTAACTGCACTTGCCCCAACAGTCTGTAAAGGCTAAACAGGAGTTATTTTTATTTAGTGGTGCCGGTGGTGGTGCTGTTGATGCTGGTGGTGATGGTGGTCACCTGCAGGCGCTTGAGTGTGGGGAAGCCCGGTGGCACGCTGCTGAGCTCGTTGTGGTCGAGGTGGAGCTCCCGCAGTGAGGAGAGATCCAGAGCCCCGGCCGCCACCGACTTCACCGCATTGTCACTCAGGCCCAACCTGGGGAGCACCACCACCGCCACGGCACCGTCACACCATCAATATAACTGCCATCGCACTGCTGTCACAGCGCCATCACAGCACCATCACAGCACCATCACACTTCGATCACACCACCGTCGCACCACCTTCACACTACGGTCACACAACCATCACACTACCGCCACACCACCATCACACCACCATCAGGGTCTTTCACCTGGTGAGTTTGGTCAGGCCCTTGAGGTCGTCCTTCCTCACCGTCTTGATGGCGTTAGAGTCCAGGTAGAGCTCCTGCAGCTGCGGCGGAAGTCCTAGACATGGTAACATGGTGAAACACAGTGAGACACGGGGACACGGTGAGACACGGGGACACGGTGAGACAATGAAACAGTTAGACACAGGGGCACGGCGAGGCACGGGGACACGGTAAGTTATGGTGAGACACAGTGAGACACATTGAGATACGTTGACATGGTGCGACATGGTGAGACACGGTGACACGGTTAGATATGGGGACAGGGTGAGACACGGTTAGACACGTGGACAGGGTGAGACATGGTGAGACACGGGGACACAGTGAGACACGAGGACATGGTGAGACATGGTGAGACACGGGGACACAGCGAGACACGGGGAGAGGGTGAGACACAGTGAGACACGTGGACACAGTGAGACACGGGGACATGGTGAGACACGGTGAGACACGGTGAGACACAGGGACACGGTGAGATACGGGGACATGGTGAGCCACAGTGGTTGGCATGGTTGTGGTGGTAATGGTTATTGTGGTGAAATGGTTGTGGTGGTGATTGTGGTGGAGGTTGTAATGGTTATTGCGCTGGTGGCGGAAATGGTTGTTGTGGTGGTTATTGTTGTGTTTGTTGTGGTGGTGTTTGTTGTGGTTGTGGTGGTTATGGTTGTGATTGTGGTGGTTGTTGTTATTGTGGTGGCGGGGCACTGCACCCTGCGGCACGGCCGTGAGGTTGCACTCGCTGGCCCGCAGATAAGCCAGGCTGCGCAGGCCCGACAGGCCCCCACTCGCCATGCCCGAGTCGCCCAGAGGGTTCCCGCTCACGACTACACAACACGCACACACAAAACACCACAATGTACATCAGTATACTATATACACCGTATATACCACACACACACACAATATACACTACATATTAACAATATACGCACTCACGACTACGCAACATGCACACAATATGCACACCAACGCATACAAAATGTACAAGGCACACATGCACAATACACAATATATACACATATACACATAAACAATACACAGTATATACACAATATACACGTAAACAATATACAGTATATACACAATATACACATAAACAATACACGGTATATACACAATATACACATAAACAATACCCACACTACATATGTAGTGGGTTCTTAAAGACGGCGTAGACGAGTTGGGTAGAGGCAACGCTATTTATTACAGAAGGGCTTAATACAACACAATACAGCCGAACACTTGAAGGGGTAACGGCCCCTTCACCCGCTGCCTGAGGAGGTATGCCTCCGGTCTGACTCGCCCTGTTTCTGGGCTAGGGTCTCGGGATCCTCCGTCTAAGGGGATCCTAGGGGAGACTACTCTGACCCGACCCAGCCAAGGTCCATGTCTCGACCACTGCCCACACGAACCCAGCCCCTGAAAAAGACGTCGGGCTCCGAGGCTCCCAGGGTCGCACCACTGGCCCATTCCTGCCCCGGCCCTGATAAGGACGGCGGGTCAATTGAGTCCCAGGGTCCCTGTCTGGCTGGTCTTCTGTCTTCAACTGGCTCTTCTCTTGAGCTGGCAACACTGCCCGGACCCTCCCGGGGTCCGGCCTTTTATCCTGCTCTGTGGCTTGCTCCGCCCTAGCCACGCCTCCCTTCCCGAACCTTCCACCGGGTTCTGGAAGGGTGACATCATTCCCCCCACAGCCCCCTACCTGGTGGTTGGGCTCTTCGTTCCAGGATCCGTTTTCCCGGCTGACTGTTGGCCCCTTGGGCCATATTCCCCTGGTACTGGCTCAGCCAGTTGATTGCCCCCCTATTGGTTAGTAGTAGGTACCACCCGGAGATGGTGTACGTTCGCCCAATAACACCGTTACACATACACACAAATACACGACAACAAAAACAACCCCAATTTGCCATTAAATGGCAGTGATGTCACTACGGGCGCCTGTGCCAGGCCATTTGCACTTTAAGGCCATGTGAAGTGTCGAACGCTAGCTGGCAGAAGGTCACGGAACTGATCCAGGAGCCATGGGTTGACTGACTGAGATGACTGGTAGATGCACCACCTATGCTCCCCACTATGCCAACTGCATTTTAGTCACCCGGCGCTCCGCTCGTTGGTGTGAGCGACTGCAGGGCGACGGCCTCCAACTGTCCGGCAGCGTCCTTCACGGGCCTCCTCCACAGAAGCCAATCTTAACACCGCTGGTACCATATAACCTTAGTTCTTTCGGTAAAGTCACGTTGAAGGGAAACAATAACATAATAAAATATATAAACAATTATATATAAACAATTATATATATAAACAATTATATATATAAACAATAATATATATTTTATTATTTTATTGTTTCCCTTCAACGTGACTTTACCGAAAGAACTAAGAATATGAATTACTGCAGTCACGAAAGCTTTAAATCAAAATTTAACCGCTGGTACCAGTCATTGGCAAGTCCACTGAGCTCCATATCCTTTCGTACCACATCATTCCATATCTTTTCCAGCCCGTACCACGCTCATTTAGCCCCCCTCTATCCAGCCAAACAAAATCTGTTTGGGAATGAGGTCGCTGGGTACACGGGCTACATGACCCATCCAACGCAACCTTGCCTGCCGAAGGAGCTCACTGATGGGACCGTGTCCAGATCTTTCAAGGATTTGTGAGCTTCTCATAAAACCCAGTCTGGTTAACCTGAATATTTCAAACAAGCGCAGATGTTCCATTAGGGAGGTCTAGATTTCACAAGCAAAGAGAAGGCAGGGCATAACTGTGGCCGAGAAGACGCACAACTTTTCGCGTGGGAGTCACATACCAGGTAGCTTCCACACATTGTTTCTGTATATATGACTTTTCCACAAAATATATATTAAGAGTGATTCTGCCCTATGTTTGTTTAATCAGGATGTAGCTGCCTCTTGGCTCGCCACACAGGCCTGCTTGGGAGGTCATAAAAAAACCCGGTGCAAGGGGGGGGCTAATGAGATTCTGCGGGAAATCCCAACTGGACTTCAAGAGGAAAAATGACATTAAACAACACGTACACCGGTCAAACAACAGGGGTCACGGTATCGCCCCGGATGGCGAGAGCCAGCCAGGGGCGGTTGGGCATTGCGAACTGTATGGGGTTTTAAAATACAACAGTAAGTTCGAAGCTTAGCTATATCTCAACCTCAGGATATAAAAATATAACTTGAGAATAGGAAGCACGGATCCCTGGTGATACAGACGGGGAACAAAGATCAATATAATCCTCGGAATACCTTTGGTAACAACTATGGTATACCACAAATCTTGGTTAAGCATAAACCAAATAATAATTATGAAAGTATTAGACCTAGGGTCATTCAGAAGAGATTCAATGCGAAATTGTTTAACTCACACACTACCAATATAATGTATTCCATCGCATCAGAGCCTCACCAACCGCCTTTGTCTTCTAGCAGCTAACACAGCACATGGTAGCAGTAAATCAGTGTGCAAGGGGGCGCCTCCACTTAATATATAAAATACCACGCAAGGATTCAAACTGCGACATGAGTGCTGTAAACACTGCAAAAACGTACTTTCAGTCACTTGAAGAGTCAAATCTGCAGAAAGTTATACGGTACCAAGCTATAAGAGGTGTAAAAGAAGAATTGTATTCTCTTAAGTATTTCGGAAAACATGGCCACAGCGCCCCTCTTTGAGAGACCGCAAGTCTGAGGCGAAAACAAATGTAACACCTCCAACCGTGAGGAAGAGGGGGGAAAACGCAGCTCAGAACGTGGCGATAATAAAGACAGCTGGACAAAAAGGCTAAAAGGAGTGCTCCTTTAAACCACCGCTTCCAGATTCATTATGGTGAAAAAGTTGTAAAACCAGTCAAACACTCTGAGGGGCAACTCAGCAAGAACACATAGCATGCAAATCAGTTCTGCGAGTGGCAGACTCCGGAATTGCCCCCGTGACAGGCACATTGATAGGGAGCTCTGCATCGGCAGAAGCCACCGCATCACCGAGAATTTTTATTTCAATTATATTTTTTCTCGTCATTGAGAGAGGCTGCAGCCAAGGCTGGTACTCGCAGTATTTCAATACGTGGGCAAGAGTGCTGTAGCATTACTATTCCCGATGGCAAGGTCGCGCTCGGTGTTCAGCCAACACTTATGATCACAGAGTGATAATCGTTCCCATTGTGCTCCGTTCAAAGTCAAGCCTTCGAGGGAAAACTGGTACAACCACTATTTCGTGAGAGTGCTCATTTAAATCGCAACCCACAGGCGAAGGATGGTTGAGGGGTAGATAAAGAGACTGACACGGAACGATATACCTTGATCTATAGCGTGTCTTCTGAGCAGCACGTCTCTCCAAGCCGTCTCACAGTCTACAAGGATCAACCGTGCCTGGTTTAAAGGGGGGTGATGAGCGGCATCAACGGACGAGCTGCAAGCAGTGTCTGGCGACGGGACCATTGCGCACATCGACGCAGACGGAGCCGGAGCCATCATCATCCTGCCAGCACGAGCACCGCCGATGACGTAAGCATCGTGTCGACTCAACAATCACCCCAGCAGTGGACAGAACCTGTTGGCGCAGCCAAGAGAGGGAGTGTCGGTGCAGGCGAGAGCGCCTTGTGTATCACACGCCCACACACCGACTCATCGCCCCCAGCTGTGAAACGAGGTGTTTTCGATACAAGGAACGCCTCACCTCGGAGGACAACACACCCACACATACGTGACACGCATATCGCGACTAATAAGATTGTTCCAAAAGTTACCTTTGTGTTTCGAAAGGGTGGCCATCCCAAGGTGGTGCGTTAACTTTTAGCGGATCGTGAAAAGCATTGCTCGGTCCATTGAGTTGCATGAATACGGTGGTTCAGTATATTAGCCATTCGTTTTCATTAATTGCATATCTTACCAATGAATTAATTGATGACACACTAAAATGTATAAGCATCTATGTTACGAATCTACACACTCACAGGAATACTATTGTGTTGAGATTTTTCTTTTGTCTTCTTTGGTTCTTTCGGTAAGTCACGTAGAATGAGAATAAAATAATAAAATAAAACAATAAAATTCTCACGACGTTTCGGCCACAACACAAGTAGCCGTCCTCAGGTGAAGAAACAGGACTGCCCAGAAGACAGCGCTTGAGTCAACCCTGTCAAGCTTGACAGCGTCTTTAAGCAGTGTGGGAGGAACAGAGAGCCTTGACAAAGGAGCATGTCACTGGGAGATTAGCATTACGGAGAGCGAACGAGCTGGGACTGGAGGAGGGGGAGAGGGGAGTTTACATATAAATTAGCATGTAATTGGGGGGTCAGCATGATGTTTGTGTGAGGGATTAGCACCACGGCGAACGACGAGCTCAGACCGGGGGACGGGGGGAGAGGAGTTTACATATAAATTAGCATGTAACTGGGGATTAGCGTTGGTGTGAGGGAGAGAAGAGCACCAAGGAGAGAAAAAATGGCGGTTTCCTCCCATCTCCTCAACAACCAGCACCAAGGACAGCGACATTCAGGCGGACGGGTCAATCCATACTCGGAAGGGAGGAGGGGGGAGGGAGAAACAGTCACACATGCCAGCGAAAGAGCTGTGGTCTGACGGTCACCGCAAAATACAATTAATTAAGAACCGAAATGGTTTAAAACATCTGTCCAATGGTTACTAAGCCAGAATCCATCCTCTCGGTTGAAATTGTCTCTGTGTTTGTATATGGTATATGTGGATGGCTTCATGAACGAATTTCTCATAGAAAAAATTTGAAACTGACGCCATCCAGACTGCCACTCTACGCCCGACCTTATGGAAGAGGTACGTGCATGACACTTTTGTCATCTGGCCACTATGGCCAACCTGCTCTAGACCAATTCCGCGACCACATCAATTCCATACACCCAGCCATCAGATTTACCATGGAGGTCGAAAAAGATGGCAAGCTACCCTTTTTGGATGTCTTAATTAAAAGGAGACCT